CAAATAACCTAGGCCCATCAGTGCCCATAGAGACTGAACCACCAACTAGGGAGAAACCATGGGACAGACCTAGGCCCTCTGCCCATATGTAACAGTTGTGCAGCTTGGTCTTCATGTGGAACCCCTAACAACGGAAGCAGGACTGTCTGACTCTGTTGCCTACCTTTGAATCCCTTTACCCTAACTTAACTGCCTTGTTCAGTCACAATAGGAATAGAGGCCCTACTCCTACTACAACTTGATATGCCAAGACTGGTTGGTATCCTTGGGAGGCCTATCCTTTCCTGAGGAGGAAGGGAGGACTGAAGGATAGAGGATGGGGAGAAGAGCTGGAGGGACTAGGAGGAGAGAAAGGAAGGGAAGCTGAGATTGGACTGTTAAATGAATAAATAAATAAATTAATTAATTAATAAAAGAGAGCTAACATGAATAAGGTCATTATTTCAAAAAAAAATAAAACTACTTTGAAAAGAAAAAATAGAGGGAGTATTGAACCGTTGAAAAAGAAAGCTACCTTAACAAATCTCCAGTAAATTATATGAAGCAGCATGTGATCCAATAAGGCTACATGGTAAATGAGTCTATTAACAGAATGTCATCCAAATGATGAAATAATAGAGACAAAGAACAGATTTGCAATTATGGGACTTAGAAACAGTAAAGGCAGTAGGGCAAAGAAATGCAATAATGTTATGAAAGAAAACAGTGGTTTTATAGGATAAAGATGTTTGATGTCTTGACTGTACATGTACATACAGAAATATGTACAGGAAACATTAAAACATATGCAACTATGGGCAGACATTTTAGAAAACTAAGAATTATTGAAAGAAAGGAGAAATATATGGACATTTACCAGTGAATAGCAATCTGGTTATTAACATGAGTACAATATAGATAAACTACATTTGAAGGAAAGAAAATAGACATAGAAGCTTTCCCAAAACTAAACAAGCAGTTTTAAATTTTAATGTGTCCTATAACATAATACTAAATATATAGAGCCAATTCATACAAACTAAAGATAGAAATACATAGATGAATCATCAAAATGAAGGGCTCTGACTCAGCCACTCCATATCTTACATCCATAGTGGGAAATCATCACTTACAATGCAGAGGATCAGAATACTCATAAATGAATATGCTCAAGTTAAAATATGTAGAGCTTTGCAACAAAATGATAAAGCCTCTGCTTTTATAAAAACATGTGGCTGGCTTCAGTGGCACACACCTTTGGTCCCAGCACTGGAGAGGCAGAGGCGGGCAGCTCTTTGTCAGTTCAAGGCCAGCTTGGCCTACAGAGAGTTCCAGGACAGCTAGGTCTACATGGAAAAATCCCTGTTTCAAACAAACAAATAAATAAATAAATAAATAAACAAACAAATAAATAAATAAATAAATAAAAATAAAACAAAACACTGCCAACAACAAAAACAGGTGGAGTATTTCTTCAAATAATGTACCTTCTGAGAAAACTTGCCTTCAACAAATATCACAGGATTAAAATTATTCAGCATGAAATCATGCTAGAAAGCCAAATTAAAAAAAAATGCTTAAAATTTCTAAGTCCTTTGAAATCTTGAAGTACACCACTCTCTACCTACCTAACCTATGGTTTAAAAGTATCTAGCAGATGAAATGATTATCTATCCAAGTTAATTTTAAATACTGACAAGGAAAAAGTGGCTGCATTCTTCTAAGATTTCCTAAGTCAACTACAGATGCTTGGCATACGGCAATCACTACAAGGTGGACAGGAAAGCCCAATAAATCAAGGGATGTTGGCACTGAGCAATCATAAGATGGAAGTTCCCCCGGGTTTCCATTTTGTACCCATCCTGTGGCAGGCCTAGAAGATGCCTCACACACTGGAATACCACAAACTACATAAATAACATTTCTGAGCTCAATGACAGAAAGAGATATCAACCAACCAGATGTCCATCTTTGGAGCCTGACTGACCCAGAGAGCAGCTACCAGCTGTGTGTGTTTGAGCTGATTATGGGCTTCAGTGGAAATAGATAGAAAGCCTTCTTTCCAGAGATGCTCCTCAGAACCTGAGTCATCTCTCTCTCTCTCTCTCTCTCTCTCTCTCTCTCTCTCTCTCTCTCACACACACACACACACACACACACACACATACACACGCACACAAAGCATAAGGCAAAATATTGAACCAAGAAACAAGCAAAATAAATCAAGGATAAAAAAGCAGAAACTTTTGATTTAAAATCTATGGAAAGAAGGCTTTTGACAAAGCCCCACTTGAGAATTTGATCATAGCCATTCTGATGGGTGAAAGGAGAAATCTCAGGGTCATTTTGATTTGCATTTCCCAGATGACTAAGGATGTTGAGCATTTCTTTAAGTGTTTCTCTGCCATTCAATATTCCTCTGTTGAGAATTCTCTGTTTACCTCTGTACCCCATTTTCTTTAATTGGATTACTTGTTTGTTGATGTTTAACTTCTTGAGTTCTTTATATATTCTGGATATTAGCCCTGTCAGATATAGGTTTGGTGAAGATCCTTTCCCAATCTGTAGGCTGTCGTTTAGTTATGAAGACAGTGTCCTTTGCTTTACAGAAGCTTTTCAGTTTCATGAGGTCCCATTTATTGATTGTTGGTCTTAGAGCTTGTGCTGTTGGTGTTCTGTTCAGGAAGTTGTCTCCTGTGCTAATGAGTTCAAGGCCCTTTGGCACTTTTTCTTCTAACCGATTTAGTGTGTCTGGTTTTATGTTGAGGTCTTTGATCCAGTTGGATTTTAGTTTTGTGCGGAGTGATAGGTATGAATCTATTTGCATTTTTCTACATGTAAGCATCCAGTTAGACCAGCACCATTTGTTGAAGATGCTGTCTTTTTTCCATTGAATGAAAAAAAAATTTGAAAAATGGTTTCTTTGTAAAAAATCAAGTATCCATAAGTGTGTGGGTTTATTTCTGGGTTTTCTATTTGATTCCATTGATCCACCATTCTGTTTCTATGCCAATACCATGCAGGCTTTATTATTATTGCTCTGTAGTACAGCTTGAGATCTGGGATGGAGTTACCTCAAGATGATCTGTTGTTGTACAGAATTGTTTTAGCAATTTTGGGTTTTTTGTTTTTCCATATGAACTTGAGAACTGTTCTTTGAAGGTTTGTAAAGAATTGTTTTGGTATTTTGATGGGAATCAAGTGATAATACTTGCTAGAGAGGAAGTGAAGAAAGAGGAACCCTCCTCCATTGCTGGTGGGAATGTAAACTTGTACAACCACTTTGGAAATCAATCTGGCACTTTCTCAGCCAATTAGGAATAGCGCTTCCTCAAGATCCAGCTGTACTACTCATAGGCATATATTCAAAAGATCCTCAAGTACACAACAGGGACATTTGCTCAACCATGTTTGTAGCAGCTTTATTCATAATAGCCAGAACAGGAAACAACCCAGATGCTCCTCAAATGAGGAATGGATACAGAAATTGTGATACATTTGTACAATGGAATACTACTCAGCAATTAAAAGCAAGAAAATCATGAAATTTTTAGAAATTTGTAGTGGGACCTAGAAAAAATCATCCTGAATGTGGTGACCCAGAAGCAGAAAGACACATGGTATATACTCACTTATAAGTGGATATTAGACATATAATATGGATAAATATACTAAAATCTGTACACCTAAAGAAGCTAAGCAACAAGGAGGACCCTGGGTAAGATGGGTCAGAAAGGCAAATGGGATGGACATCGGAAGAGGGAGAAAACTGGAAACAGAACAGGAGCCTACAACATAGAACCTCTGAAAGACTCTACCCAGCAGGGAGGGTATCAAAGAAGATGCTGTGACTCATAGCCAAACACTGGGCAGAGTGCAGGGAATCTTACAAAAGAAATGGGAGATAGAAAGACCTGGAAAGGACAGGAGCTCCACAAGGAGAGCAACAGAACCAAAACTTCTGGGCACAGTGGTCTTTTCTGAGACTGGTACTCCAACCAAGGACCATGCATGGAAATAACCTAGAACCACTGCACAGATGTAGCCCATGGCAGCTTTTTGTCCAAGTGGGTTTTCTAGTAAGGGGAATAGGGACTGTCTCTGACATGAACTCAGTGGCTGGTTCTTTGATCACCTCCCCCTGAAGGGGGAGCAGCCTTGCCAGGCCACAGAGGAAAACAATGCAGCCACTCCTGATGAGACCTGATAGGCTAGGGTCAGATAGAAGGGGTGGAGGACCTCCCCTATCAGTGAACTTGGAGAGGGGCATGGGAGGATATAAGTGAGGGAGGGTGGGATTATGAGGGAGTGAGGGAGGGGGCTATAGCTGGAATAAAAAAAAATGAATAATCTGTCATTAATTAAAAAAAAGTAAATATAAAAGGACTTGGAAGGGGGCAGGGAGGAGCTGAGGGAGGGAGAGTGGGATTGGAAAGGAAAGAGGGAGGGGATACAGCTGGGATACAAGTAAATGACCTGTGATTAAAATAAAAATAAAACAAAATAAAGCTAAAAATGAAAGCCCTAAATCTCCTATTGAATTACAATTCATTCCACATCCCTATCAATACTGAGCATCATGAAAAGAGGTAAAGTAAACCCATTTTCATTTAAGAAAATAATAATGTGAGCGTGGTAGATGAGGCTACAGAAGTGTGGGGCGTTACTCAAAGTCCTGTGTTAGATTCTTAACACCACTCAAAAGGATAAATATGTATGTGCTGCACAACTACTTTGAAAATGAAACAAGTCATTAACATTAACTCAAGAAAAATACAGATTCCAATATAGTTTTACACACACCAGATCCGTTGCAATTGCCTATGACAGAATCAGGATTTCCACTGGTTTCGGTCCCATATTTATCACATTCTACAGGTTCTACAATGGGAGGGCGTTCCTTTTAAACTGTCTTTCGTACTTTCAAAAACTTGCTAGGATAAGAATGGCACGGTACATTATGATGAAAATTTGCGCATTGGCCTCCCTTTTCCATCAGAGTTTAAAACCCACAGACTCACCGGCTCAGGTCAGTCCCGGGCACGTACTGGGAGAAGCGGGCGTGCAGTAGGGGAATGAGCCTGAGATCACACCACCGCTTCTCCCATCGCAGGCCTGGAGATGTGGGCCACGAGGAGCAGGAAAGCGTGTCCTGAAAAGAGCAATACGTTCAGGTTTGTGCTTCTTTGTATACGCAGACCTATCATTGGGGGGGGGGGGATGTTAATTTTTTTCTGAATGTTTTGAATAGTGTTATAGGCCTAAGTAACGCCCACTCTTCAGCCCAGGTCTTTACTTCAAAATGTCATTATTAGCAGAGCTCTGTAAAAAGATTACAACAAACTCACCATGGAAGCACGTGAAGTTTATGGAGGAAGGGGAAGAAAAGCATGAAAGAGTAGAATCTGTCCACGAATGGAAGAAATGAGCAACATTACCATAGCGGAGAAGCAACAAAAATCGCATGGAAATGAAGTGACTTGTCTAATAGACTAAGAGTTTTGCGGGCCTGCAGGGCTCCAATCACAATCATATTCGCAAATACATTTTAAAGGCCACAGCGTATATGTAGACTGAGCACTTTCCTTTTGAATCTTGTAAGTACTTCTCAATTAGCTAACACTCCTGTAAAAATCTTTAATGTCCTTCTGTGAGAAATCTTGATCACTGTTTTCATTTCAGTTTCAAAACGTTTAGGTTCCTCTATGTTGCTTTCATGTCTTATCAAGGACATGGGTGCTGCTTTATAATTATAGGTGCTTCTGGATTAGTTAGAGATTAAAATACTTTCTGCTAATTTTTGAGATTATAATTATAAAATTCTCCTCTTCCCTTCAAACTCTTCTGTGCACCCCATCCTTCACTCATTCAATTCATAGTCTGATTAAATGCACAAAACTTTCCAATTAATCGTGTCAGTTCATCTACTGCTCTTCTGTAAGGAGTCATGGGTACATTGCTAAAGAATGGGTATGATTCTTTATTTTCTGTGCCAGGGGTAATCAAGAACAGGATTCTGTGCACATGGACATGCCTAAGAAGTTCATTTGCCGAGGCATCCATTCCATGCAAACCAGTGACCACTGATTCATTCCGACTAATACACCCTTGATTCCACAGTAAACGCGTCTTTCACGGAACATTCAACACTTCAAAGCAAATGTAAAACAATGAAAATTATTTCAGAATTTTTCATTGGTTATTTCATATTTTGCTCATATATTTTGGCAGGTTTTTTTAACATTGATTTTCCATATTTTATGAATATTAATCATTTCCTTTGGTTATCGTTTTCTATGAATAAACAAGATAGAAATGTGAAAGAATATTAAATAATTAACATACTGTGATACTGAGGATGATGATAGCCTGTAAGTGGGTATTACATTTATGTGACACTGTTAGGAGTCATAGATCTGAAAATATGTTAACTTTTCAATTTAATAATTCATAAATTAATATAGAAAAAGTAATTTTCTCATTATATACCTGTTTGTAAAAACTATGAAACATACCCAACATCAAGTTTTAAAATTATCAGACCTCTACTATAAATCATACTTACAGTTAAGAATTTAATACCCTTTAAAAACAAGTTCTACTTATTTTAATCGTGAAAATACACATTTCATGTCTTCTTTTGCTAACAATTATCAATTATTTATGGTAACATATATAGTGGCCTAGAAAACAATACTTATATGGTTTTGAGAAGTACATTTCTTAGAAACTTACTCTATAAAAATGTTGTTTCCTAAAATATTAACTAAGTGTATGTAAAGGCAGAGTTTATATACTGCATGCTTTACAAGAGATTTTTCTCCAACACTTAATACATGTCACATGATGGCTTTAAAAACAACCAAATTACCAAAATAGAACTGCATGTGTAGCAAAATGCTACTCCAGATATTTTTTTTTAAAGAAGTTGGCACAGAAAGTTGACTTGAGGTATAAGGTCGAGGAAAATATTTTCAAATTTGTGTTCTATGACTATCTGAGTAAGCATATTTTCTTGGACTTGGAAGGAATTTCTTCACTTCACCTCCAAGGAAAGAAATTCAGCATCAGGGCTTGGCTCAAGGAGACCCAGTCTCAGAAAATCAAGGGATATCTGTGTCCTTGAAATCAGTGACACTTTGTTCTTGAAGAAGTAGACATTAAAGGACAGTAACCTAAATTTCATATGTGAAGCTTCATTTCTCTGGGTTTTTAAGTGCCTTCAGAAAATACAGAAAGAATTTTTCAATAATAATCAGTTACTCAAAAATTGCTTTAGAATAATACATAGCTATTTAAAATGCAGTTTGGTGCCATCTCTGTTTCTAAACACTAGTTAACTGTAAGTCTGTGAGTAGGGAGAGTTTCTGGTCTCTTCCTCCTATGTTGAAGCTTACTTACAGCCAAGAAAGAAAATTGGATTGGGCCAGCGGCACTCAGGTCTGGTGGCAGAATCTTCCCAAGAGGAAGAGAGCCACATTTGTTTTGTAGTCGCCTGACTTTCACACTTAGCTATACCTGTGTTCAGAGATTCCACAGCCCTTTAGCTCTTTTTCTTTTTACACGAAAGGTGATTTTATGTATTAGCTTATAGTTCTGGTTTTAAAATTCTGACGGTCAGAAACCATAATTGGCAAGTTTCCTAGAATACCCCAGAAAGTGCCTCTATAGAGGTCAGCAAAACTTTATTTAGTGGAAATACTCAAACACTTTCTCATTATAAATGTGCTTTACTTGAATTTGAATGCTGATTCTTCTTTAGATCACCATTCTAAGCTTTCATTACTCTACAACGTATCCAGAAATGTAGCAGTATTAATGCTGAAAATAGTAGCACAATGTGAGTGAACAGTATGGAATGAGTGAGCAGTATGGAATGTTTTTGGCACGTGGTATTCAGAATCCTATACCACTGTCTATGCTGGAAACAGTCAGGCTGCAGAAAAAGAGAAGTGAGTACTATGCTCTAATCATAGCTTTCCAAAGAATTACTTATTGTTATTTTCATATAAAGCAATGGAATGAGTTGAAAGCAAACTATCATGATTCCTTTCCTTAAACCTTTCATTCTAACTTCTCGAGTTACCATTAGAAGACATGAAGGACTTTAGACAAACTCTAGATTAAGAACAAACTCTAGGTTAAGAACATGACCAAGCAGCTTTCTCCAGCTCTGAAATAGAAGAGGTACTTCTTACGAACATAACTAACACCGAAATTCTACTGTAATTACAAGCAGCAAGGGACCTCTCAGAGGAAACCTGAAAGAGCAGAGAAAGCATATGACAGCTATGTGTTCCATTTCCTCTGTTGGTCATCCAGAGGAAGCCCATCTTGGTCCTTCCCTTACCAAATCACACAGCATGCTTGGAGAGAAACTCAGGGACATGTGAATCTCAGACAAACACTTGAAAAGAGCTGTCAGCTATGAAAAGACATAGCTGGTCACATCACCAGCATAGTAAACAGGGAGAATGGGCACTAAGGAAAAAAGAAATTGAGGAAGCATTTATAAAATGGGGAGTGTGGATTAAACAAATGAGGACAGAGAAGCTCAGTGGAACATCACTTGCCTAAGGCCCTAGATCCATCCAAGCAACACATGCGCACACACAAACACACCAGACAGAGAAAGAGAGAGAGGAGTTGTTGATTGGGCAAAGCAAGACACTTGTATAAAACAAGGAGTTGATTAGATCACTGCTGTGTGTGTGTGTGTGTTTCTCACTTGAAAACTAGATTTTTAAATCACTCATATCTTTGTAACATCAGGAGATCAGTGTTTTGCATTTTAACTATTACATAAGTTATTTTTCTGGTAAACAAAATTAAAAAGAATACTTAAAAAACTATATCCAGATACTGTTGATTTGATAAGAGCATAACATTTCCAGCAATAGCCAGAGCTCTTAAAAATTTTCTTCAAAATAGATGGATAGATAGAAAGACAGACAGACAGACACAGAGAGAGAGAGGGATAGACAGATGTAGCCCACCTGAACACTTATGTTATCCAGCTGTGAAATAATATCAATATAATAAGGAGAAACAAATGTTGTTTGGACTTGCAAATGTTCAAAGGTAATCTTTTGAAATAAACTTCCAAAATTAGGTCAGAAATATCTTATAGAGAAATTTATTGGAGATCAGAAAAATAAAGTGTAGTACAGGTCAGCTCTGGTAATTTATACGTAAATCTACATGTAATCAGAAAGAATAGTTTTCTTTTATTTAGAATGTTTTGAATGTTAAAATAAGAAATTTCAAAAATATTTAATAAAGATGACTAATTTACTAAAAAACGATGTGCAAAATAAACACTAAAATGCAATTAAATTCACTAAAACTAATGTGTTAAATATGTTTTATTGAATATATATAATAGTTAACATTCTTTGTTGTATCATATGCATATATGATATATATCATAATGTATAATTTAGATTGGCTCCCCCTTGCATTAATTTCATGGTATACATAAAGATTGCAAAACATAACAAATGATGGTTATATTTAGCTAACTGGTATCAAAATAAAAGTGATAAAAATCATGTAGTTCATGAAACTCTGTATGGCATGAAATGCTCTGAAAGGATGTTTGAATAATCGCTCCTATTCCAAAGTCTCCGGCACTTAACAGAGGATTTACTAATGCATGCCTGAGGGAAAGACTGTCATATGAAGCAACTGTCTGGTTAGTTTTCCTTCTGGCTTGTCCTAGTACTTAAGTGGTAATGAAGTAACCAAGACATCCTGTTTCATTAGATAAATTAGACTCAGGAATTGTGATAGCAAACCACAACCACAGATACATTCTGCTCTTGGGCCATCCTCATTAGTCCCGACTGTGTCCCGGCACAGCTGTCTTACTGTGTTGTTTGGATGGTAGTTGAGGTGCAAGCCACTGTCACAAAGAGGAGAGGAGGTACCACTGCTCTGGTCACTGGGAGCACCTGCGGGAGACAAAAGCATAACATCTTACAGGTTAAATCGTCACACTGTTATAGAAGGACTCTCTCCAGTTATATATTCTCTCCAATTAACTTGAGTTATACTACAGCTAGAGCTTGGCAAGTAATGTAAGTGATCATAGATCTTGGTACACTAAAGGAGACTATTTTGAACTTCCATGCCCCATGCCCAGAAAAGCCAGGGAGGTAGAAAAGATTCCCTAGAACTGCAGTTACACGTGGTTTTGAGCCTCCTGGGGTTCTAGGATGGAATCTCTATTCCCTGGAGGAACAGCCGGCGTTCTTAATGTCTCAGCTGCTTCTCTAACTGCCCTCTCCAGACTATTAACAGTGAAATCTTCTTCCAGTCTGCAAAGTTCTATTTTGTGTTTTGTTTCAAAGAACTGACTAATGCTTTAAGTAGAAACTGCAGTTTTAAGTGTGTCCTCAGTATGTATTTATATATTCAAAAATCCTCATCAAACCTACTTAATTTTGTGGCATTGCAAGGCACAAAATGTATTCAAGCCTTATGAGAAATCTTGCCAAGTATATAGTTTTTAAAATTGAAGGATCACAACTAAAGATTCACAATTTTCAAAGATGACAGAGCATAAAAACTGTTAGAGTCATGGATTGTTCACTCCATGTTCCTTCACTTATGATTGTTCCCTGTGGCCTGACATTATTACTTCAGAGTTTCTAATGTAGTTGACCAACCAATTTTTTATTGAAAGATCACAGTTGTGTATAAGCATCAGATTTCCTAGAAAGGCTTTAGTTGCAAAACATGACATATTCAATATTTGTACTCTTCTTCATTACTAAAATTTCCACAGGTTTTTTTTTTTTTTTTTCTGCTAAGAAGTCACGTGCCTGGGCTAAATTTTTCCACTCTCCAAACGCAAAGTTTTGTAATCAGGGGGCTAGAGTGATGGCTCAGTGGTGAAAAGCACATGTTCTTCTTGCGGAAGACCTGGGTTCAGTTCTCAGCACCCACATGGCAGCTCCCAGCCAGCTGTCCTTCCAGTTCCAGAGAAAATGACAACCTCTTATGGTACCCTGAGTCAAGCTCATGGTGCACTTACATACATGCTCACAAATACACTCACCCATAAAACAAAAATAAATAACAAAACTTTTTAAATATTCACACATTATTTTGTTACTTTATTTGAAGTTGAAATACATTTTTATTTTAGGACATAATTTAAAACACGTATCCATTTTAATGTGAATATATTTACGTATTTATATATGATGGTATCAAGTGATACTTGTTTTGCGAAAACATAAATGATCAAATTCTGTGCATGTATTTTAAATTATCATAGATAAAAATATAAATGAATATACAAAAAGAATATAGTGATAAATTCAATAAACTACAGTTGTATCATAAAAATGTACCAGGAGCAGAATTTCAACAAGCAAATAATAAAACATAAAACAAAAGTAATAAAATTAATGTATAGCAAGAACTACTTAGATAAAAAGGAGAAAGTACAAATTAGCAGTATCAGAAGTAACGGAGAGGCCACTACAAAAGGCTAATAGATATTAAAGCAAATATTGAAAGGATATGATGAGTAAGTTATCATAAAGAAATCATTAACTTCATTGAAGTGGGGAGTAGCATGAAAATAATCTAGTCAATGTTTACAAAACAATGACTACGACTAATATTGTATTCATTCTAGAGACCAAGAAATGTAAAAGAATATTACAATTCCATTCTACAATTAATTTCTATTACAGAATTAATAAAAATGTGGTGTATCATAGTGAATTTTCAGCATATAAAAATGAATATAATATCTGTGTTCACAATAGATAATTGGAAAATGATATTTAAAAATGTATAAAATAAATTTTTAAAAACATACATAAAATGACACACAAATTTGTGGAGCATTCCATATTATTGTTTGTTAGTAAAGTAAAGATTTTAATCTAAAATAAAAGAAAAAATGTATACATTAAATAAAACATAGATAAAACATCATCACTGAATTAAATCAAAATGCTGTTGAAATAAATAAAAATATAAGCCAAAGAAAAAGTAGAGCAGGTTAACTGAATACAAGAATTATGTCTGCTACAGTGCAGAGTTCTCTAGTTGCCTATGCATGTAATCTTCCATTGTTAAAAATTCCAATAAGCTTTTCAAATTAATTGATTAGGCATTACCAACTTATTTTTTTGTGGTAGAAATGATTGAAGAATGCCAAATAATTTTTAAAAACTATAGTTAAGCAAGCTAATCTGAGTGAATTAAAGATACTCTAATGGCATAATAATCAGCACTGTGAGTTGGTGAAAACATACACATACAACAATGGTAGGAAAAAAGCAAGAAACTGTTCAAAAAATAGGTCCAAACAACAGGGTTAAACAATGCACACACATGCACAAACACACACACATGTACATGCACACAGTGATTACTTGAACAGAAATTATTTAAGATATATTCTAAAATGAAACAGAAAAATAAAAGCAATTAATTTTCACTGACCAAAGTAGGTAACTAACCTTAAAATCTCTAAGTTGCCAAATACTACTTATAGGATACTTTAAGCAATGATCATACTTGACAAAAAAGCAGCAACAATGTATGTTAATGAAGTTATTTAAAAACAAAAAAAAAAACCCAAGACAATAACAAAACAACAAAACTTTACCCCAAAAGATATCCCCAGGCAAAAAAAAAAAAAAAAAAAAAAAATCTGTCTTCTGAAGAGTAAGAATTGATAGGGTACAGTGGCAGACACCTGTAATCCCAGCACTTGGCCAGAGATCTCCTGAGATCAGCCTGGACTACAAAGCAAATTCAGGACAGCCAAAGATACACAGAGAAACCCACCCCACATTCCCCCCTGAAAAAACAAAAGAATGGGAAGTTGTTACACATGACTCAATGAAAGGATCATGTACTGTTTTCAATGTAACAGTAAAAGAGCATGTCAATAAAATATGGAAAAGGGACTTGAGCAGACATTTTGTAAAATAAAATATAAAGATTGTCAACATGCATATTACTATTATTGCATATTATAATTATTATTGGTCACAACTCATAGTGAAATTAACATATTAAACAAATGCCTGGAAAACAATCTTCAGCCATTGTCTTAGTTAAGGTTATTTTTTATATGATGAAACACGGTGAGCAAATGCAAGTTGAGAAGGAACGAGTTTATGTAACTTTCTCTTCTACATCACTGTTCATTATTGAAGGGCATAAGTACAGGAGTTCAAACAGTGGCAGAACGTGGAAGGAGGAGCTAACATAAACACCCTGGATATGCTGCTTACTGGCATGTTCATTATGGCTTGCTCATTCTGCTTTCTTATGGAATCCCAGGACCACCAGCTCAGGGATGATACCAGCCAAAATGGGCTTGGCCACTTCCCACTGATCACTAATTAAGAAAAATTAAGAAAAATTGTGTGCTTACAACTGGATCTTCTGTAAACATTTGCTCATTCAAGCTCCATTGTCTATGATGAATATATCTCTGTCAAATTGGCATAGAACTGCCAGCATAAGCATTAAACACAAGGAAGATTATGTAGGACAGACAGTCTGCATCTTTCCCTAAAGTGTACAGGGGAAGGATCTCACAAATATACCATCTTTAAGATAGGTCAATGAGGTAGAAAGGAAGATATTGCTACCAAAGGAACAAAGTTGGTAACAATAGAAAGTCCAAATGCATTAATGAACATTTCAGAAATCAGTCAACTCCTGGTACCTCGAGCAAGCTTAAAGACAAGAATAGTTGCAATGGAGTATGGAGAAAGCCATAACATTTCATGGGCAAGAGCTCACTCCTCAAGCTGACAGCTTGTAATGAAGTAATGGCCAAACTTTTATTTCTCTCTGAAAGGAAAAGAAAGAAAAGAGCATGTATCCAACACTCCAGTTCAAGGAGAATGTTTCCATCTCATCTGACAATGTGTGGGTAATATCAGCTCTTAGAAACTTGGAGTCGCCGGGCAAAAAGAAGAGCTCAAATCCTTGTTATAGGAAGAGAAAGCACATCCCCAGAATGCAATGGAGATCTCATCACCCAAGCTGATTGGTGTAAATCTTGCCTGGTATGCAACTGGTTTGAAAATGGGTAGAAATGACCTTTTCCAACAAACAAAATACACAGTGTGGACCATGATATAACAAAGAGTACAGATGAAAACATAAGCCATCGAAAAGCACAAAATACATCAGCAGAATAAAAACCAAGTAATGGAAATCATCTAGCAAGGAATTCAAAATAATAATTTTGAAGGAGCTTGCTGTGTTACAAGGTAACAGGCAACTAAATGAAACCAGGAAAGAGAAATATCTTTCCCCTGATAGGGGAGGAGCCTTACCAGGCCACAGAGGAAGGCAATGCAGCCAGTCCCATTGAGACTTGATAGGCTAGGGTCAGATGGAAGGGGAAGAGGACCTCTCCTATCATTGGAGTACTTACTTAATAGAAACACAGACATCACATTTTCCCCAAGTATTTAGATACGTGGGTTTCAGTTGAATACCCACAGAAGTTAGGTATCCACTAAAAGAGCCTGGAAGGAAAAGGAGATCTCTCAAGAAAGTTCGGATAAAATAGAGTATTGTAAAGAGGTAAACGGAAAAAAATTAGAACAGGAAGAAATAAATCAGTTGAAGGATGGGAAGAAATGGTAGAGAAGGGAATGGGAGATGGATAGCTAAACCTTCTGAGAAAGCCAACTAGAGGCCTAATTAAAACATAGATACACACACATAAATAAAAAATAGAGTTAAATAAAGTCACTCTACCATTGAAAACCAATGCTCAAGTTAGACACCATATGCTACCAAATAAAATGCCTGGTATAAAGAATGGGTTATATCTTTTTAAATTGTTAGCCAACGAGATCTCAGAGACCCTCTCCCAAACATTTTAGGATGTTTCCAATGATACTGGGTACCACCCAGAACTTGATGATAAGGTGATTGCTGAACACAGCACTTTCTTATGTTATAGAACATGAAGAAATCTAGCTGATACTTTACTGGAAGCTTCATCCCTACTGGTTAGTCTTAATAGTTCTTCAAGATATTATATACACTTTCAGAACATTAAAAAAAAATCTCATGCAGCTATGAAACCTATGATAAAACTATGCATCCTTCAATAAGACCGCCCTGGCAATATATGTCCACTTGCGCAGTAAGGGAATGGATGTTATGAGTGGCTAACCACTTTCTTTTATTGTTAATAAGTCCTGCTCCATGAGATGAAACCCATTCCTGAGACTTCCAGTGAGTTCAGGACCCTCTGGCTAGGTATATCACAGGCTCTTCGGTAAAACCTACTAATATTCTGGTAAGCGGAGATAGCAGTAAAATGACTCCTAATTGATTATGGTTATACCCATAAACTAGTACGTTGCTCAGTCCTCATCATGGAAGCTTTTCTCTGTGATAGATAGAAACAAAGGATATATTGTCCTAAGACAAAAGCTTAAGTTCACCATTAAGCACACACACACACACACACACACACACACACACACACAAAAACTCAATAGAAACAAAACTTTTGTTTCGGAATGGAAAAATGAAAAAAAAATGACCTGAACATAAATTTATCCCAAGAGCAGTAAGAATAGTTAAGAAGCATATGAAGTATGGTAAAAGTTGGGCAGAGTAAAACTGCATGGGGAGAGAAGAGCTAGTGAAAATTAGTTAGGAGGCTGGTTCCACAACCACTAGAAAGGAAGTATTTGAATGTTTTCAATATAAATTAAATTATAAATTTTGACTTTCAGGAGAAGTGATTTCCGTGATTTGGTGACTGCATTCAGTATGCACGCATTAACATATCACACTGTATTCTACGAAGAAAATTCCAGCTACCGGTTGGAAAGAAATGGGGGACAGAGAGCAAACGCACTGTTCTGAGTATTGTTTTTACTCTACGAATGCTTACATGCACAGTCTTCATTCAGTGGGAGTTTGAGGAAAGCAGGTGCTCTTTTTAAAAATGACACTGTGAGCGTCACTTCCTCCCCGGCATTCCGAAGAACCTGAACCTGGAAACAGAAAAGATTAAGATAATGTAGCCACTGTTAGTTATACAGTTCCTTATAATTATAAATCCCAGGCACTATTGAATATTTTCTACTTCTTGGTTTTCTCTTGTGGTGAGAAACACTTTGTGAAAGATATAAGGGTAACTCCCTTAACAGTTCCCAACACGCTTCATACTTGTGCCCCTTTGCTGCAGTCTGATAGCATACACTGCGAACCTCTCAGTCACATCCACAGAACACCTCCTGAGCAATGGGGGTGACTCTAGGTGAGAATCCTGGTAGCAGGGGTCCTAGAGACTGAAGAGGACACCCTCCAACTAGACAGGACTCCTAGCTGAGGAAGGGAATCACCAAACTACCGACAAAAACTTTGATCCAAAATTTACCCTGCCTACAAGATTTGCAAGGATAAAGATAGAACAGAGATTGAAGAAATGTCTAACCAATACTTGGCCAAACCTGAGACCCACTGCATGGGAGAAAGCCAGCCTCTGACACTATCAATGATATTCTGCTATGCTCACAGACATGAGCCTAGCATTGCTGTCTTCTGCGAGGCTCCACCCAGCAATGGATCGAAATAGATGCTGAGACTCATACGCAAAGTGTAGGGAGTTTTGTGAAGTGGGAGGAAGTATAGAAGGACCTGGAGGTACCAGGAATTCCAGAAAAAGACCAACAGAGCCAACTAACCATGGCCCAAAGGGCTTTGTGGAGACTGAAGCACCAACCAAAGCCCATGCATGGACTGGACCTAGGTCCCCTACACAGATGTAGCAGATGAGCAGCTCAGGCTTCATGAGGGTTCCCTAGTAAGTGGAGCAGGGAATGCCTCTGACACGGACACTGTTGCCTGCTTTCTGATCACTCCGCCCTGGTGTGGCTGCCTTGCCAGACCACAGGGGGAAAGGACGCATGCAGTCCTGACTTAAAGAGCTGAGGTGGGTGGGTAGGGGCAGAACCCCTTATCTGAGAGGAGAGGAAAAGGGGAAGAGGGAGGGATGATTGGACCTAGAGGAGAGGAGAGAGGTGGTTAAGACTGAAATGTAAACTGGATAAACACATTAATTAAAATAATAATTATTTATTAATAATAATTAATGGATACATTAATTAAAATAAAAAGAAGAGAAATAAAAAAGAAAGAAAAAGAAAAGAAAAATGATCTTGCAGGTACAGACCAAAGAAATACTTCTTATAAAGAAAGGTTCATCAATTTATTCAAACCCTTCTTCAAAACACTACTAAATGTTTGCTTTCCCTGAGGAGCTGAGAAAATAAAGAAATTTGGTAGCAGCTATAATTCCCAGCAATTGAAATTATAGAATAGATACATCTAGTTTTACCTGCTAGAATAAACAGTTCTGATTTCCTTAAAAATAAAAGCAATAAAAAGCAACCAATGGAAAAAATCTATTTAAGAAAGAAACTAAAGGAAGGCTAAGAATCCAAGTGTGTATGTTATAACGTAGTTGTAGCAATCACACAAATATGGGTATGGTAATAAACTTTGATGTAAACCACAGATAAACTTAAGAATCTTTAAGAAGTAGTTAAAGCCCTTGTGAATGATGATTAAGCATCTTCCCTACATACAGTCTCATACATACTCAGCTCTGCAGCAGAACACCTATGACAAACCATTCTCATACTACCTAATCTACTTATCTAATTATACAATAGGGAATATGTATATTCCTAAAGACAAGAAGTGCATTCTGTATAATAACTTAATAGGCCTCAACCCTACACAAAGGATTACAAGCAGCTAAGGAATGCTGAGAGTAGGAGAAATAATAGTATCCCATGAGGAAGAGCACACCATCTGCTTATCCAATACAAATAGTCAACACTGAAAACCTACATGAAAGAAATATTACATAAATAATGTTTTATATGCATAGTATTTACAGTACAGCAAATGGAGAATAAAAATGTGCTATAATTAAATGAATTGGATTACAAAATAATCCCTAAATGTCAGAAACTCATTTTAACATGGTTTTATCAAGAAGTTAAATACAAAGAGAGAGGCACACAGAGACAGACACTGACACAGAAACAGACACACTTCCGTTAAAGATTCAACAAGAACATTTCATCAGACTGAACGCTTCCTAAAAGAACCCCAACTAGTATGCTGCCCTAATGTATGCCTAGAGAGCATCGGTCTCCTCCCAACCTTTTCTCAGCAATCGTATTATGGCCATAACCAACCTACTTCAAGCAGATCTTCTCATATCTTTGCCTTTGTTTAACTTGTCTGCATTACATACGTCATCACCATTAGCAGCTTCTACCCCATTCTTGTTTTTATTAAATTCATTTCTTAAAATTTCCTCGCTTTATATCCCAGTTGTAGCTTCCCTCCCTCGTTTCCTGCCAGTCCCACCTTCTCTCCCTCTTCCCTTCTGTATTCTTCCCTTAGTCCTGGAAAGGGGGAGCCCTCCTCCCCTACCAACTGACTCCAGCCTAACAAGTCTCCTCAAAACTGCCTGCATCCTCTTTCTCTGTGGCCTGGAAAAGCCTCCCTACCAAGAGGAACTGAACAAATAGCTGGCAACAGAGTCCATGTCAGAGACAGTCTCTGCTCCCTTACTAGGGAGCCAAACGGAGACTGAGCTGCCTATTGGCTACATATGAGCAGGTGGTCTAGGTCCTCTCCATGCGTAGTTCTTAATAGCTGCACCAGTTTCTGCAGGACCCCATGGGCCCCAGTTTGTTGGCTTTGTTGTTCTCCTTGTGTAGCCTCTGTCCCCTCCGGGTCTATCTATCCCCATCTTTTCCATTAACTCCCTGAACAGACCTGGTGGCTCACACCTTTAATCCCACCATTAGGGGAAGCAGAGGCAGGCAGACTGGATTATTGTAAATTCATGGCAAGCCTGGTCTACAAAGGGAGTCCAAGATAGCCAAGGCTACACAGAGAAAGGCTGTCTCAAAAAACTAAACTAAAATAAGATAAAATAAAGTTTCTTCTACTGCATCTTAACCTGTGCTTTTACTGCCATTCCCATACTTTCTGTGTGTGATTTTTCTTTGTCTTTCAACAATATGTGTTGCATAGAGGCAGGCAGTTTCTTCTTGGCCACAGATAGATCTCAAAGCCAGTGTAGCATCTTCTCCTTAGAGAGGGTTCATCAAATATTTTTAACATCAATAAGTTTACCAAATGAATTTCAAATAGAATGTGGCAGTCTGTGTCCAGGTCACTGTAGGAAAATCGGATCTCACCCCACATTGCTTTCATTTATAACTCACTGTGATTTGAGGTTCTTCGGTGGTGTACAATCAGAGAATACAATGACAGAGGTACAATATATATTTGAAATTTCTAATGAAAATTTACTAAGTAAATCAATAAAGTAACATTTTCTACAGACAATTGGATTACATTTTCTGGCTGACAAGTTTTTTTGTTTGATTTGTTTCATTAAAAAGTCTTTCATTCAGTGCAATGTTTTATTACTCACATTTATTTAAAGGAATATCATTTGAAAATGCTGATTGTCATTAATGTTAAGGAATAAAAGTCATAAAAATTCAAATACAGTACTTAGAAATGTAAAATAATGTCTTCAATCAAAATTATTAGCTATAACATACACATGAGAATTTGAAAAATTGAAAAGCAAAGTGATTTTCTAAGTTATAACATGTCCAGACTGATCCAAACCACAGTCAAAGTGATTCCTCACTTTCTACTATGTTAATGAAAACAAAGCATAATAAAAGTCAGTCACCTGAGAATTCTTCTCCTGTCCAACAAATTGGTTAGCTACTGATCAACACTTCTCTCTCTTCCTTCTTGGCCTCATTTAACGACCACCTTCCTCTCAGTTTCTATGAGGTAAACATTTGTTCGTTTCATGTATGAACGTGAAACAGCATTCTTGGAAAAATATCCAGTGATACATAGAATCTTCACTAAGGCTGATTAACTGATGAAAATGTCAGTGACTATGAAGTGGTTGGGAAGTTGAGGGTCCACAGCTTAGTTATAGTTCATCTTGAGCTATTGTTTTTCCCTTTGACAGACATTCCTTGCCTACCTCTATGTGTCGTATAAGCTGCACTTGCTATCTATTTGGAATGCATTAACGAGCTACTAGTTTCTGCCAAACAAAAAGCTGAGTCTCCTCCAATACCATCTGAGGCCTGTAGCTGAGGTTTATTTGTTTTGCTGTAACTCATCTAGCTACATCTTCAAATATATTTGTAAAATACTTTGATTTATTTATTGCCTTTATTGTTCTGCTACTAAAAAAAAAATGTCATCAAACTGTTGCCATGTTGAAGCAAGGAATTAGGAGTAACTTGAATCCGTGTTTTCAGTCCAGGATTATTCATATTTGGCTCCAGAATTAACTGTTTATTATGCATGTTGAGGATAGAATTGTATTTTTGGGTTGAAAGTAGAATCATGTTCTACTTGTACTGCTAGATACACTTGTTTAAGATCACATAGCAATATAGGAATGAGCCACTCTATGATTGCAGGGTGGCACTTACAAGCAAGCAGTCCAGAAGAAAGGATAGTGAATGAAAACAGGTTTTACTGTATTTAAACATTCCACAACGCACGCATGTACATCAGTACCCAGCTCAAATTTGTTTGTATGATAGTTAATAGACTACGTAAAATTTGTTTTAAAAGTCGATGAAATTTGCAGGCAGGTGAGAACTAGAAAAGATCATCCTGAGTGAGGTGACCCAGAAGTAGAAAGACACACATGATATATGCTCACTTATAAGTGGATATTAGTCATATAATATAGAATAAACACACTAAAATCTATACTCCTAAAAAAAAAAAAAAAAAGCAAAACTAGAAAAAGGACCGTAGGGAAGTTGCTCAGTCCTCACTCAGAAAGCAAATAAGATAGAATTCAGAAGCTGGAAAAAACAGGGAAAGGGCAGGAGACTATAACAAAGGGCCTCTGAAAGACTCTACCCAACAGAGTATCAAAGCAGATGCTGAGACTCATAGACAAACTTTG